CTTCTTTCTTCCAAAGATAAATTCCTTTCCTCACCACATAACTTTTTTTTTTATCCTAGTCTATTATATAGTTCACTTCATCTTTCATAGACCCATCTCCCAACATATCCATTTCCAAATACAGTGGTACCTCGGAATATGAACAGCTCAAAACACGAACAATTATGTAAGTGTATTTTTGGGGGTCTGAAACTGATTAATCCAATTTACATTATTCCTTATGGGAACAAATTTGTTCAGTATCAGCACTCGAACAGCATTCTGGAACAAAATAAGTTCATATCCCGAGGTATCACTGTAACTAAATACTTTCTCCCTCTAATTTGACATTTCATTGCCTTCACTTTTTTGTTACTGCATCACCTTCCTCTTTTATGCTCACTGAATTTCCTTCTTTTATATGCCCTCCCAAATTCATCTACCAATCTTTGAAACCTACCTTCAGAATCTCACAAAAGAAATGTCTTCTGCAAAGAGCAACTATGACAAGTCTCACTTTGAATGAGCTTCTTCATATTTTAATCCATCTCTCACCAATACCCTGGTATTTACTTCTTGTATAACTCCATATATGAATATGTTATGACAACCATAGTGACAATTCACTAATAACCCACACATAGGAGATTTAAAACTTATAATGAAGTTTCAATCCTACGTGCGGATTTTGTTTATTGTTCCAGTCACGGTATTGTGCCTTTTTATTCTTTCTAACCATGGTGATATCGTGCATCCTTGTCTCCTACTATTAATGGGAGATAATCCCCCTCTCTCCTACTTGCCCTAACCTGAGCCTCACTGTCTACATAAAAACTGTTCAGTGATTTTAGTAACCTATCACCTGTTATATACATCTGAAAGATCTGCAACATTTCTTCCCTATCATGTACTAAGTCTACAAATGCAATAAACTGTTCCTTACCCTCATTGTTCACTTACATGCTTCAATGCAAAACAACCACGGGGGAGTAGAATGATAGCTCTAGGCCTTTTGTGTTGCAATCAACACATCATCAGGAGCTTGCAAAACTGCAGAAAAGAGGAGGGTATCCAAGCAAATAATGTTCCCAGAGGACCACCTTTATTGAAGTGAGCGAGGGAGGGAGGGAGAAAGGAGAGGGTACCGGAAGTGCCCTTAGGCACAACAGTGCCCATAGCCAGAAAGAGGAATATTATAGCATTAGAAAAAAATCCCACAAGCATTGATACTGTAATAGTCGAAACGAAATTAATGTGGCAATAATAAAAAATTCAACTATGGCATTAATAACTTTAAATATACAGTGGACCCCCGCATAACGATTACCTCCGAATGTGACCAATTATGTAAGTGTATTTATGTAAGTGCGTTTGTACGTGTATGTTTGGGGGTCTGAAATGGACTAATCTACTTCACAATATTTCTTATGGGAACAAATTCGGTCAGTACTGGCACCTGAACATACTTCTGGAGTGAAAAAATATCGTTAACCGGGGGTCCACTGTATAAATATATTGTCAGTGATATAGAAGTCACTGGCAATTACATCCTCCACGGGGCAATGTGTCCTTTTAAATTACAAGAGAAAACAGTACCATATATGGAGGAGACTTCTAAAAGTTATGTATAGGAAATAGGGCTCATTAAAATAAACTCAATAAGGGGGGTAGAGATATCTGCAATAACAAAACAGCCGGCCACCGATATTCATCCCACAATAATTTGAGGCAAACTCTGGTTCAACCTTCAGAAACTGCAGGAAAAAGATTTTTAGGCCCTAATTCCTCAGTGTGGCACTACATTTAAGACAGTCTGATGAATTTGTATAAGAGCCCAATTTTAAACTGTACAATTGCCTCAACTAAAACTGCAGCTAATTTGAACAGCCCATCACTATATTGTATAACGACCGCCTATTGTGCTTAATAATTGCTGATTCTACAATATTCCTTTCAAGCCAGGAGGAACAAGGGAAGATAACTTTTGCTTCTCGCCAATTTGCTGGGTTATTACAAGCTCTAATATGGTTGAAAATTGCACTCAACTCCTGTGCTATACATATCTAATAATGTTGCTGAGACATTCTCACCTCCAATGATTTTCCAGTTTGTCCCAAATAGGAGAGACTCCAACCGTTGCAACCAACTCTGTAGACACCACCAACACGCTGTTGGGGTGCATTCCTTATCAGGATTCTTCTAACAGTCTGTGAATTTTTAAATACTACTTGTATATTAAATCTTCTATGAGTATTCTGCAGTACAGATAAATTCTCATTATATGGAAGGATCAGTACATTCTTGGTCTGAGGTGTTATCCTAAGTTATGTTCTATAATAAGTTTTCTTAGCTTCCAGCAAGGCAGATTCCATAAACACTTCAGGATACTGCAGTTTCGTGCCTCAGAATTATTGTCGGATGAATATCGGTGGCTGGCTGTCTTGTTATTGCAGATGTCTCCGCCCCCCTTAATGAGTTTATTTTAATGAGCCCCATTTCCTTTACATAACTTTTAGAAGTCTCCTCCATATATGGTACCGTTTTCTCTTGTAATTTAAAAGGACACATTGTCCCATGGAGGATATAATTGCCAGTGACTTCTATATCACTGACAATATATTTATATATTTAAAGTTATTAATGCCATAGTTGAATTTTTTATTATTGCTACATTAATTCGTTTCGACTATTACAATATCAATGCTTGTGGGATTTTTTTCTAATGCTATAATATTCCTCTTTCTGGCTATGGGCACTGTTGTGCCTAAGGGCACTTCCGGTACCCTCTCCTTTCTCCCTCCCTCCCTCGCTCACTTCAATAAAGGTGGTCCTCTGGGAACATTATTTGCTTGGATACCCTCCTCTTTTCTGCAATGTTGCAAGTTCCTGATGTGTTGATTGCAACACGAAAGGGCTAGAGCTATCATTCTACTCCCCCGTGGTTGTTTTGCATCTTGTATCATTTGGTTTGATATTTGCTTAACATGCTTCAACGTAAACACTTTGTCCATGCATCCCCTACCTTTCTTAAATTCTTTTTATTCCTCTGCAATCTTACTTTCTTATCCCTAACTCTTTCAATAATAATTGTACTATATTTTTATTATTTATGAATTACATTACTGCATTACTTTCAGAATATCTTAAGCAAAATTGGCAGAAATTATAGTGACTGCATACAGAATATCACATGTTTATCTTTCTCTTTTATAGTCTTCTTATATACTCATCCATCACTAACAATGTTACCTAAAATACACTGCCATTCAGCATACTAAAAATGCTTTCTACTCAACATACATTTGCCCGGCTATGCATGGCACCTAAGCCTGAACATGCGTGTGATGTATGTCTACAGCCAAGTAAGCATGTCGTGTGTGTAGTAGGAAAACATGCTAAAGCATAGCCCCTGCATATAACTTGCAAGACAAATAGGAGGCAATTAGGCTCAATCTGTGATAGAAAAAAATAGGTCCAATTTCTAGGAAAGCAATTTCTAAGGAAAGTAAATGGAGATATATGTGAGTAGACATATTTACTCCTAGACTGAGTGGCAAGATTAAATACCAAGAACACAATTAGAACTTCTTTTGTATTGTTTTTATTTTTGTCAAGTGTTTATCAGGGTAGAAAACAAATACAGTGGAACTCCAGTTTTCGTGCGGTCTGAATATCGTACAATTCGGATTTAGAACACTTTTTTGGGCGAAATTTGGGTCCGGATTTCATACCTCCATCCGGAAACTGTACGTATGAGACACATCTGCCCACCCAGGATGCCGCCACTCTCATGTGTACGTATCTCAGTCTGGCTCTGTCACTGGGTAAGTGAGCATTCATCCAAAACATTTCGCAATTTTTGTGCTTGTTTACTGATTTTGAAGGGTTTGAGACTGACCCTGTCGACCCTACGCCTGTTGTGGAATCTACTGTGACTTTGGGGAAGTCCATGGGATTGGATGTGAGTGGCCAGGATTTGGAAGAGTTGGTGGAGGACCACAGGGAAAAGCTAACCACTGAAGAGTTGCAAGACCTTCATCTAGAAGAGGCAACAGACCACAGATGAGAAAAATGCTTCAGATGAGGAGGAAGAGAGAGGGGAGAAGGTGCCTTCTTCAGTGATTAAGGACATGTGTGCAAAGTAGAATGAGTTGCAAACTTTTGTTGAAAAATATCACCCTTACCAAGCTGATACAAGCCATATCTGCAACATGTTCAGTGACAATACTTTGTCTCATTTTAGGCAAATCTTAAATAGATGCCAGAAACAGAGCTCTCTGGACAGATTTTTAGTGTGATAGGGGTCCAGTACCAGTAAAAGACAAAGAAAGGAAGTAACCCCAGAGAGGGCTTTGATACTTGAAGTCCGTATAGAGGGGATTCCCCTTCCAAACAATAACCTTAACTCCCTCTCCCCTCCTCGCCTTCTTCAATACGCCAACAAGAGTCTTCAATAAAGGTATGTGATGTTCATTTATCATTAAAATTAGTCATTTACATTTATTTCTCATTGTTTTCTGTATGTAAAACTACGGTTATTCTTTAAAAAATGTATTTTTGTTAATATTTTTGGGTATCTGGAATGGATTAATTGTATTTACATTATTTCTTATGGGAAATATTACTTCGGTTTTTGTATGTTTCGGATTTAAACCGACCTTCTGGAACGGATTAAGTATCAAATCTGGGGTTCCACTGTATTTAATAATGGATCAGCATATTACATTAACATTTACTAAGACACCAATCAGTAGGGTTTGCTTACCTGTGAGTTTGTGACCTTGAGTAATCCAAATTCCTTATTAGCATAGTTTTCGAGGAATGCATCTCCTGTTCATCAGATGCCAGATCACCTGGTAAACAGGAACAGCGGGCCACCAGCAGCAACAGCCTGGTTGACCAAGCAAATGCCAGACAAGCCTGGCCCATGGCTGAGTTCCAGAAGTAGAAAAACTCTCGGGACTCATCTGAGGTAAGGTATATCCAGAGTTGACTAAATCAAGTGCAAATTTAATAATTACCTGGCATTCCCTGGAGCAGTACCACTGGTTTCCACAACCAGCACACACAAACTGTGCTCGTTGTTTGTGGCATCCTTGACACTTAGGGTTACCACTCCCCTCTTCCGGCTGATGGCTTGATTTCTTGCTCCGACTTTCAGACTGTATAGAAAGAACCAAGTTATTTCTATTCTAAAATTAGGAATCTGTTTGAAGCAATGGACATGTTCTTCAAAGCCAAGAGGTTGGAAAAGTTTGTTGTCACAATTATGACCATTTTTGTTTTTTAACACGTCGGCCGTTTCCCACTGAGGCAGGGTGACCCAAAAAGAAAAAAAGACAAAAAGAAAACACTTTCATCATTCATCACTCATACATAATCACTATCTTTCCAGAGGTGCTCAGATATTCCAGCTTAGACATCCCTCTAAACTGCCACTATCCCAAACCCCTCCTTTAAAGAGCAGGCATTGCACTTCCCATTTCCAGGACTCAAGTCCGGCTAACCAGTTTCCCTGAATCCCTTCAAAAAATATTACCCTGTTCACACTCCAACTGCTCGTCAGGTCCCAAAAACCATCTGTCTCCATTCACTCCTGTCTAACACGCTCATGCACGCTTGCTGGAAGTCCAGCCTTTCGCCCACAAAACCTCCTTTACCCCCCTCCCTCCAACCTTTTCGGGGAGGATCCCTACCCCACCTTTCTTCCCCTACAGATTTATACTCTCTCTACGTCATTCTACTTTGTTCCATTCTCTAAATAACTAAACCACCTCAACAGCCCCTCTTCAGCCCTCTGACTAATACTTTCAGTAACTCCACACTTCCTCCTAATTTCCACACTACGAATTCTCTGCATAATATTTACGCCACACATCTCCACTACCTCCAGCCGCCTCCTTGCTGCAGCATTTACAACCCATGCTTCACACCCATATTAGAGTGTTGGTATCACTATACTCTCGTACATTCCCTTCTTTGCCTCCTTGAATAACGTTGTCTCCACAAATGCCTCAACACACCACTCGCCTTTTTTCCTTCGTCAATTCCATGGTTAACCTCATACTTCATAAACCCATCTGCTGACAAGTCAACTCCCAAATATCTGAAAACATTCACTTCTTCCATACTCCCTCCCTCCAATGTGATATTCAATTTTTTTTTATTTAAATTGTTTGATACCCTTATCACCTTACTCTTATCCATGTTCACTTTCAACTTTCTACCTTTACACACACTCCCAAACTCATCCTCTAACCTTTGCAACTTTTCTTTAGAATCCCCCAAAAGCACAGTATCATCAGTAAAAAGTAACTGTGTCAACTCCCATTTTTGTATTTGATTCCCCATAATTTAATCTCACCCCTCTCCCCAACACCCTAGCATTTACTTCTTTTACAACTCCATCTATAAATATGTTAAACAACTATGGTGACATTACACATCCCTGTCAAAGATCTACTTTTACTGAGAAGTAATCTCCCTCTCTCCTACACACCCTAGCCTGAGCCTCACTTGCCTCACAAAAACACTTTACAGCATTTAGTAACTTACTACCTATTCCATACACTTGCAACATCTGCCACATTCACACAGTTCAACGGACAAGTGAAGCAGTAGCAGCAGCAACACACACAGCAAGAGGCATTCTTGAGCTTCCCCAGCACTTGGACTTCAGCTCCAAAAAGATCCTGTAGTGCTTGCTGCCTTTGCACCTGACATCATCTGCTGCTATGTAGCTGCCACACCCTTTGAGAAGCCCAGTGTGGGTGGGGTTTGTGGCAGCCCAACGTGCTTAGTTTCTCCCTCCGAGCCCCGTGAAGAACAGGGCTAGACCTGGGGAAACCTGGTCCCAGAAGATGAGGAGGTACTTGTACCTCCTCTCATGGCAGACATTGGTCTGAGACTCTCCCACGACAAGGAGCCAAGGCCGGGCCACCTCTTGGAAAAGGCCTGTGCTGGGGGGCTATACCAGCGAATCTACCACCTACCATCTGCCACATTGCTCCCCTATTCACTCTATCATATGCCTTTTCTAAATCCATAAATCCAATGAAAACTTCCCTACCTTTATCTACATACTGTTCACACATATATGCTTCAATGTAAACACCTGATCTACACATCCCCTACCCATTCTAAAGCCTCCTTGCTCATCGGCAGTCCTGCTCTGTCTTACCTCTAATTCTTTCAATAATAACCCTACCATACACTTAACCTGATATACTCAGTAAACTTATTCCCTTATAATTTTTACAATCTTTTCTGTCCCCCTTCCCTCTATATAAAGGAACTATACATGCTCTCTGCCAATCCCTAGGTACCTTCCCCTCTTTCATACATTTATTAAACAAAAATACCAACCACTCCAACATATAACTTCCCCTGCTTTTAATCATGAACAAATATAATACTATAAATATTTAATGTTTATCTGCTCACTGAACCATACTGTGTTATATTTTCCTAATTTCTTGTCATCAGTGAAAATAATCTCTCTTAAGTACGGCACAATTCTAGAAGTGGTTGCACTCCGATTTTGCATTGTAGAAAAAATTATGTTTAAGGTAAATGTAATAATTTTTAATACTGTACAAGTATTATAAAAATGTTAAGTAATACCTACACATACCTACAACTGTATGGGTAGGAATATGCTACAAAATTTTAGGACTATCAGATATCGCCAAATCTTTACCTTCTGGGAAAGCATTACGTGAAAGCAAACAGGAATAAATAAAAGTGAAAACATCCATGATAATTCTGTCTGACACCCTGAGTGATGTACTTAAGTTACTGTAGTGAACATACTGGTGTTTTGTAGTTACTGTAGTCGACATACTGATGTTTCGTAGTTACTGTACTGAACATACTGGTGTTTTGTAGTTATTGTATTGAATAAATATTTATGTATGCCATACATAATGGTGCTTTGGGAGTGTTTTTTTAACCACACCAGCCATCTCCCACCTAGGCAGGGCGACACAACTAAGAGAAAACTACTTTCACCATCATTCAATCATGACTGTGCTAGAAGTATGCTTCCATCTCCCTTCAGATAACCCTGCAAACTGCAACATCCTCACTCCTCCTTCAGAATGCAAGCAATGCATTTCCCACTTCAAGAACTCAAATCAGATTAACTGGTTTTTTCCCTAAATCCCTTCATAGATGCTAACTTGTTCACAATCTAGCAGCATGCTAAATTCTAAGACCCACTTGTCTCCATTCCTAGCTAACAAGCGCATACAAGCCTCTTGGATGAAAACACATTTATATAGCATACATATTGGTTAAGGTAGTAGGCTGGTAGACAGCAACCACCCAGGAAGGTACTACCGTCCTGCCAAGTGAGTGTAAAACGAAAGCCTGTAATTGTTTTACATGATGGTAGGATTGCTGGTGTCCATTTTTCTGTCTCATGAACATGCAAGGTTTCAGGTACATCTTGCTACTTCTACTTACACTTAGGTCACACTACACATACATGTATAAGCATATATATACATACATACCCCTCTGGGTTTTCTTCTATTTTCTTTCTAGTTCTTGTTGTTGTTTATTTCCTCTTATCTCCATGGGGAAGTGGAACAGAATTCTTCCTCCGTAAGCCATGCGTGTCGTAAGAGGTGACTAAAATGCCGGGAGCAAGGGGCTAGTAACCCCTTCTCCTGTATATATTACTAAATGTAAAAAAAGAAACTTTCGTTTTTCCTTTTGGGCCACCCCGCCTAGGTGGGATACAGCCGGTTTGTTGAAAGAAAGAAAGAAATTCATATTGGTGTGCAGGAAGTTACCATAGTGCAACTATGTTCACATATGGCATACACATTGGTGTGCTGAAAGCTACAATAGTGAAAACGTTAATGTATGTTATACATACTGGTGCTCTGGAATTTACAGTAGTGAGAAGTTTATACACATCATACACATTCACAATATACGTATGTGCAACAGCAGATTTACAAATTCATTTTCATAACATTCCTTTCTTAACAAAATAAAAGGATGTCTTTCACTGAGATAAGAGAAAGCACTAATAACCTTTTGCATAGTTCCAAATAAACCCCTCCCCACCCACCCATCTACCTAAACACATGCATACATTAATTTTATTTATTTTCTGTGAACCTGAAAGTACAGTGCCTCTACTCTGAAGGGAATGGGGATATTACATTTGAATGGCCATTTGAATTGACATATCTGCAAAGCTGGTAAGGGCTACTGAATAAATGATGGTAACTGTATTTCTAAATATTTAGTGAAGGGATTCAGGGAAACCAGTTATTTTTATATAGCCAGACTTGAGTCCTGGAAATGGGAAGTACAATGCCTGCACTCTAAAGGAGGGGTTTCGGGATATTAGCAGTTTGGAGGGATATGTTGTGTATCTTTATATGTATATGCTGCTAAACTGTTGTGTTCTGAGCACCTCTGCAAAAACAGTGATTATGTGTGAGTGAGGTGAAAGTGTTGAATGATGATTTAAGTATTTTCTTTCCAGGGATTTTCTTTCTTTTTGGGTCACCCTGCCTCGGTGGGAGACGGCCGACTTGTTAAAAAAAAAAATTGTATTTCCTGCCATGCGTGTCATAAAAGGCAACTAAAATGCCAGGAGCAAGGGACTAGTAACCCCTGCATAAATTACTAAATTTAATAAGAAAAATTTTGGTTTTTCTTTTTAGGTCACCCTGCCTCTGTGGGATACAGTTAATTCATTAAAAAAAATTGTGTTTCTTCTTTTGAGTCACCCTACCTTGGTAGGAGATGGATGGTGCATCAAAAAAATTATTATAATAATACAGTGGAACCTTGGCTTACGAATTTAATCCATTTTGTGGACTTGTTCGTATCCCGATTTATTCGTATGCTGGATCAATTTTCCTCATTTACATTAACTGAAATGCAATTACTGTAATTTGTTCCAGCTGAATTCCTGTTCTCAGGAGGCATGGCAAAATAACCTTTATTTATCTGTCAAAATTCATCTAATATGACATAATAAACAATATAAATAACACAGAAACCTGATATACACTCTAGAATGTATAAAATATGTCATTATGTGGACAGCAGAGGGAGGATTGTGGTCGCAAAAGTTGTCGCACATTCTCGCTATGAAAACATCAGAGGTGTTATAAGAGAAAATAGAGTTTGTGAGGTTAACTGAATTAGATCTCGTGTACATACAACATTTACATACCTTGGAGAAGAAATGCCGAGCGGCATATCCTGTCAGGAGTTCACATTTTTCTTAAGAATTGCTATGTACAATTTTTATGTTTATCTTACTACACTACGTATCTCCTGTGAGCTGTTTCTCTGCCAACCATGTCAACAGCAGCTTTTCTATCTTTTCATTGACAAAGGTCTGCTGCTTAGAAATTACTGTGATGCCCTTTGCTGATGCTATAGCCTTTATAGACTCCTTCTGCTTTAGTACTGTACATATAGTAGAGGGGCTACGCTTGTACTCATTCGCCAAGTCCTCAACCCTCGTACCTAGTCTGTGCCTATCAATGATTTCTTGCTTTAATTCCATGCAAATCATCCTCTTTTTCTTCTTGGCACTGTCCAAAGCACTTGCTTTCTTAGGCCCCATGGTTAGAAGAAAGAAATCTGGCAAATTAACTGCACGAAACGTAAGGAAATCATGAGAATTCCTTGCATCGCGAGAGTAGCTCCGTAAGCACATGTGCACTGGTGAGCATTGTGGTGGTGTTGTCAAACTAAATTATACGCAGTACGTACATAGTATTATTATTATAATTATTATTATTATACTATTATGTATTATTATATATTATTATTTTATTATAATTATATAGTATTATATTGTTATTATTATATTATACGTTATAATGTATTATTGTCATTATTATTAGTACTTACGTATTATAATTATTATCATTATTATTATAAATTTAGGGACCTGGAGCACAGATCCAATTCCCTAGATCAAGAGCCCCTTACCAAGTACAGTATGTACTACTACTACTACTAATAATAATAATAATAATAATTATTATTATTACCTGGAGTTTACCTGGAGAGAGTTCCGGGGGTCAACGCCCCCGCGGCCCGGTCTGTGACCATATTGTCTGTGACAATAATAATAATAACAGTAAAGAGAAACTTCAAAAGGCTGCCAGTAGTTGCCGCCACCATCAGCAAAACACTGGTAGCCTCTACTAGTACACTTTTCAACTGTCTAGACTTAAGTAGTCTATTAGTATTAAGTTAAGTCTGACCGAAATGCCTCGGCATGATAGTGGTTTTCTTTGCTCCAACCATATTATGATGTGTAAACCACATATTGTAACCTTTGGAAAGAAATAATATTTTATTTATTTATTTATTTATTTAAGGAACCTCCCTCAAGGAGGAAGTTCGCATCCTGAAATTTTGTTCGTATCTAGAAGCAAAAAATCAACTGAAAAAGTTCGTATCCTGAAAAATTCACATGGTGGGGCGTTCATAAGCCAAGGTTCCATTGTACTTGTAACAATAATTTCTTTGGTTACTTACTTGGGAGTGTGCTGCAGACTTGTCTTTGACAGTTGTGGTGGATCCGCCAGAGAGAAGTGCAGAAAGTGTCAGGTACTGAGAGTTTGAAGCACTCTCACTCACACCCTTGACTAAAGTGCCACTGGATGCACTAGCCCGGGATTCCAGTAGTAGCTGTATTAGTAAGAACAATTGATTTATACACTTTCAAGTAAACAGAGTACTGTAGTAAAATTAAATACAGATATATCACTTATCAAAAAAAAAATTCCAGACAAAATCAAACTTAATAAGCATACAAAATATTTGTCTTTCAAGATGTGTGGTAAAATTTAAATAGTGTAATGCATTATCTAAAATAATGTGATCTTTTTGTAAATAATAAGATCACAAGCAATACTGAATGAGCATTGATGAAACAAATCTCTCAATATATCTGACAAAACTCTGTTGTATATTAAAAAGAATTAAGTAAAAAATTAAAAAAAAAAAAAAGTACATCAAGCCACGGGGGTGTTGACCCCCAAAACCCTCTCCAGGTAAACACCTTTGTCAATATAAGACTTGCTAATTTTAAATATTCTTTATATTACCATAGTAAACAGTACATAAATAATATATGTCAGAACAAAACTTCCTGTAATATAAGTATACTGTCAAATTGTTCTTTACCTTTGCTAAAGCTGATGGTGCTTCTAAACTAGCTTTAGTGGTGGATGGAACAATACTAGAGGGAAGAGAGGGAGGAGTCTGGTCCCTCATCACAGGGGTGGATTCTCGGCTACCATCAGACCTCTTAGAGCCTCCATCATTGCTACCCACAGGGAAAATTGAGATCTATGGGGAATAAAGTAAATCCTAGGATAAACATCAGATATCACCAAATCTACATAAAACTTATAAATAACTCTTTATAGTGGGAAATGTGGCCAGATTTCATTCACTTTTTGTTGGTCTTAGGTTGGTAATGACTGGAAGGAGGAAGAGTAATTAGAATAGAATAAAATAGCAAAGCAGGAGGAGGGTATTAGGAAGAGATAGGAGAAAAAAGATATGGATGAATGGTTGCACGTGTGTAATTTATCAGGGGAAAACGATAAACAGGTTAAGAAAGCCTAGGGTACAATTGGATTTGTCAGTTAAAAACAGAGTAGGGGAGTTAGTAGATGGGGAGCTGGAGGTACGTACTGGGTAGATGGCACGAATATTTTGAGGAACTTTTAAATGTTTATGAAGAAAGAGAGGCAGTAATTTCATGCACTGGCCAGGGAGGTATAACATATTTTAGGAGTGAAGAAGAGCAGGATGTAAGTGTGGGAGAGGTGCAAGAGGCATTACATAGAATGAAAGAGGGTAAAGGAGCTGGAACTGATGGGATAATGACAGAAATGTTAAAAATGTGGAAGTGGTTGATATTTTTGCTGAATAAATTCATAATAGAGGGGAAGGTACCTAGGGATTGGCAGAGAGTGTGTATCATTCCTTTATATGAAGGAAAGGGGGACAAAAGAGACTGTAAAAATTATAGGGGATATTGCAAGTGTATGGAATAGGTAATAAGATACTAAATGCTGAAAGGAGTTTTTATAAGGATAGTGAGGTTCAGGTTAGGGTAAGCAGGAGAGAAGGAGATTACTTCTCAGTAAAAGTAGGTCTTAGACAGGGATGTGTAGTATCACCATGGTGGTTTAACATATTTATAGATGGGGTTGTAAAAGAAGTAAATGCTAGGGTGTTGGGGAGAAGGGCAGGATTAAATTATAGGGAATCAAATACAAAATGGGAGTTGACACAATCACTTTTTGCTGATGATACTGTGCTTTTGGGGGATTCTAAAGAAAAGGTGCAAAGGTTAGTGGACGAGTTTGGGAGGGTTTGTAAAGGTAGAAAGTTGAAAGTGAACATAGATAAGAGTAAGGTGATGAGGGTATCAAAGGATTTAGATAAAGAAAAATTAGATATCACATTGGAGGGAGGGAGTATGAAAGAAGTGAATGTTTTCAGATACAGTGGACCCCCGCCTTACGAACGCATCGCGGTAATGTTAAATCCGCCATACGAAGCATTTGAACGCAAAAATTTTGCCTCGCCTCACGATAAAAAACTAGCTTTACATGATTCGTCCGGGATGCATCCCATGTGTGGCCTCAGCACCAGTGTTTACAAGCCAGTCAGTGCGGTCGCATCTATGCATACATTCTGTACATTTCACATTATCCCAGTGTTTTTAGTGCTTGTAACTGCAAAATAAGTCACCATGGATGCTAAGAAAGCTTCTAGTGCCATCCCTGTGGTAAAAAGGGTGAGAATTAGTATGGAATTGAAAAAAGAGATTAAGGAAATGTGTGCAAAGTGGGTTGAACTGCAAACCTTTATGGATGAAAATCACCCTGACACAGCTACTGCAAGCCGTGTAGGCAACCTTTACAATGACAATGTTATGGCCCATTTTAGGAAGGAACGGGAGGTACAGAGCTCTATGGACAGATTTGTTGTGCGACAGAGGTCCAGTGACTCTCAAGCTGGTCCTAGTGGCATTAAAAGAAGGGAAGTAACCCCAGAAAAGGACTTGCTACCTCAAGTCCTAATGGAAGGGGATTCCCCTTCTAAATAATAACTTCCACACTCTCCCCTCCTCCCATCCCATCAATCACCACCAGATCTTCAATAAAGGTAAGTGTCATGTATTCTATTCTTAGTAGAGTAGCAATTGTGCATGTCTTCTTCAGTTTGTGTGCATTAAAATTAATATTTCATGTGGTAAAAAAAATTTTTTTTTATACTTTTGGGTGTCAGGAATGGATTAATTTGATTTCCATTATTTCTTATGGGGGAAATTAATTCGGCTAACAATAATTTCGGCTTACAATGAGCTCTCAGGAACAGATTAATATCGTAAGGCGGGGGTCCACTGTATTTGGGAGTTGACTTGTCAGCAGATGGGTTTAGGAAGGATGAGGTAAACCATAGAACTGATGAAGGAAAAAAGGTGAGTGGTGTGTTGAGGTATCTGTGGAGACAAAGAACGTTATCCATGGAGGCAAAGAAAGGAATGTATAAGAGTATAGTGGTACCAACACTCTTATATGGTTTTGAAGCATAGGTCGTAAATGTGGCAGCAAGAAGGTGGCTGGAGGCACTGGAGATGTGTCTAAGGGCAATGTGTGGTATAAATATTATGCAGAGAATTTGTATGTGGAAATTAAGAGGTGTGGAGTTACTAAAGTATTATTAACCCTTTGACTGTTTCGGCCATATATATACGTCTTAGGAGCCACCGTGTTTGACATATATATACATGTACTCACAAATTCATTGTCTAAGGGCAATGTGTGGTGTAAATATTATGCAGAAAATTCGGAGTGTGGAAATTAGAAGGTGTGGAGTTAATAAAAGCATTAGTCAGAGGGCAGAAGAGGGGTTGTTGAGGTGGTTTGGTCATTTAGAGAGAATGGATCAAAGTAGAATGACATGGAAAGCATATAAATCTATAGGGGAAGGAAAGAGGGGTAGGGGTCATCCTCGAAAGGGTTGGAAAGAGGGGGTAAAGGAGGTTTTGTGGGCGAGGGGCTTCGACTTCCAGCAAGCGTGCATGAGCGTGTTAGATAGGAGTGAATGGAGATGAATGATACTTGGGACCTGACGATCTGTTGGAGTGTGAGCAGGGTAATATTTAGTGAAGGATTTAGTGAAGGTTTAAAAATGTAGTGTTAGAGTGTTCAGCAGAAGTCTGTGGTTACAGGAAAGTGGGTGCGGGAGGGAAGAGGAGCGATTGGTGGAATGATGATGTGAAGAGAGTACTAAGGGAGAAAAAGTTAGCATATGAGAAGTTTTTACAAAGTAGAAGTGATGCAAGGAGGGAAGAGTATATGGAGAAAAAGAGAGAGGTCAAGAGAGTGGTGAAGCAATGTAAAAAGAGAGCAAATGAGAGAGTGGGTGAGATGTTATCAACAAATTTTGTTGAAAATAAGAAAAAGTTTTGGAGTGAGATTAACAAGTTAAGAAAGCCTAGAGAACAAATGGATTTGTCAGTTAAAAATAGGAGAGGAGAGTTATTAAATGGAGAGTTAGAGGTATTGGGAAGATGGAGGGAATATTTTGAGGAATTGTTAAATGTTGATGAAGATAGGGAAGCTATGATTTCATGTATAGGGCAAGGAGGAACAACATCTTGTAGGAGTGAGGAAGAGCCAGTTGTGAGTGTGGGGGAAGTTCGTGAGGCAGTAGGTAAAATGAAAGGGGGTAAGGCAGCCGGGATTGACGGGATTGATGGCAAGCGTTCCACAAGGAAGCGTGCTGGGTCCACTGTTATGGAATGTCTACTTCAACGACCTTCATCTCATCCCAGAATCACATGCATATGCAGACGACTATACACTGACATTCACTTATCCAAGAGAGAAATGCCAGCTGCTCTAAGCTACATCAATCACCAGCTGAGAGCTATATCAGCTTGGGGAAATAGATGGCAAGTAACATCTGCACCTGAGAAAATGCAAATGATGATCGTCTCTAGGCACCATGATGGTAATGCTGGTGCAGTAGTAAGGATGAATGGGACGATGTTGGCACCTGGGGAAGAAGTTGATATCCTTGGGGTGAAATTTGACTCCAAACTAACCATGAAGAACCATGTTGTAAATCTTGCAAACAAGGCAGCCAGGAAGCTTACAGCACTTCGCCGTATCTCGCATCTGCTTGACAGTAGGGGTTGCAAGATCCTGTACGAGGCACAAGTACGCTCACACCTTGAGTATGCTCCACTTTCTTGGTTTGCCTGCCCCCCTCTCATCTGCGACTGCTTGACAGAGTAGAGAACAGAGCAAGACGCCTCATCTCTCGCCTGGACCCATCCTGGATAGATCTGGCATTTCAGCAGAGCCTTCAACATAGGAGGGATGTGGGTGGCCTTACTGTTATGTACAAGGCCAATATTGTCAAAATACCACACTTGGATTCCACTTCGAGGACAGCGTGAAACAAGCTTTTATGCCACAAGATGGGCAGAAAGCAGCAACTTCACTCTGGCTGTACCCTTCTCCAGAACATCACTCCATCTGAGATCATACATACCCAGGATGACTCGAGGATGGAACACATTTGTACAGCATAATGATGTCAACGAGATAAAGTCAGTTGATCAAATGAAAATGCTGGCCCACAGATGGCTCCAACTTCATCCTGTCCCGTACTTGTATGTCTCATAACAATAAAAATGCTTTCAAATGAGCTGATGTAGGTAACAGCTCTTAGCTTGCCAATAAAGTTAGGAATCCTTAACCTGTAATATAGCTGTCAATAAAGATAGGGATCCTTAACCTTGTCAAACCCTGTGTAAAAAGATAGAAATGTTAAAAGCAGGTGGGGATATAGTTTTGGAGTGGTTGGTGCTATTATTTAATAAATGTATGGAAGAGGGTAAGGTACCTAGGGATTGGCAGAGAGCATGCATAGTTCCTTTGTATAAAGGCAAAGGGGACAAGAGAGTGCAAAAATTATAGGGGGATAAGTCTGTTGAGTATACCTGGCAAAGTGTATGGTAGAGTTATTATTGAAAGAATTAACAGTAAGACGGAGAATAGGATAGCAGATGAACAAGGAGGCTTTAGGAAAGGTAGGGGGTGTGTGGACCAGGTGTTTACAGTGAAACATATAAGTGAACAGTATTTAGATAAGGCTAAAGAGGTCTTTGTGGCATTTATGGATTTGGAAAAGGCGTATGACAGGGTGGATAGGGGGGCAATGTGGCAGATGTTGCAAGTGTATGGTGTAGGAGGTAGGTTACTGAAAGCAGTGAAGAGTTTTTACGAGGATAGTGAGGCTCAAGTTAGAGTATG